TTAAAAGTTTTATTATGGAAATTTCAGCTGTGGCACAGAAATAGGAAGAATGATGTACTCACTGTCTAGCTTTAACAGTTGTCAACATTTGAGGGATGTCTAACAAGAAATCGTGGGACTTAGTTTCTGAATCGTAGTTGAGCTTGTGAAGTGCCTAGGCCTCTGCACCCAGGTCATCCTCCTGGTACAAGTCCTGATATTTGCTTGTGTTTTGTGTCCCTGTTTCAGGTGGAGGCGGAGGCAGTGTCCCTGGGATTGAGAGGATGGGCCCCGGCATTGACCGCATTGGGGGTGCCGGCATGGAGCGCATGGGCGCAGGCCTGGGCCATGGCATGGATCGTGTGGGCTCTGAGATCGAGCGCATGGGCCTGGTCATGGACCGCATGGGCTCCGTCGAGCGCATGGGCTCCGGCATCGAGCGCATGGGCCCACTGGGCCTAGACCACATGGCCTCCAGCATCGAGCGCATGGGCCAGACCATGGAGCGCATCGGGTCTGGCGTGGAGCGCATGGGTGCCGGGATGGGCTTTGGCCTTGAGCGCATGGCCGCGCCCATCGACCGTGTGGGCCAGACCATTGAGCGCATGGGCTCTGGTGTAGAGCGTATGGGCCCTGCCATCGAGCGCATGGGCCTGAGCATGGAGCGCATGGTGCCCGCAGGCATGGGGGCTGGCCTGGAGCGCATGGGCCCCGTGATGGATCGCATGGCCACCGGCCTGGAGCGCATGGGCGCCAACAACCTGGAGCGAATGGGCCTGGAGCGCGTGGGCGCCAACAGTCTCGAGCGCATGGGCCTGGAGCGCATGGGTGCCAACAGCCTGGAGCGCATGGGTCCCGCCATGGGCCCGGCCCTGGGCGCTGGCATTGAGCGCATGGGCCTGGCCATGGGTGGCGGTGGCGGTGCCAGCTTTGACCGCGCCATCGAGATGGAGCGTGGCAACTTTGGAGGAAGCTTCGCAGGTTCCTTTGGTGGAGCTGGAGGCCATGCTCCTGGGGTGGCCAGGAAGGCCTGCCAGATATTTGTGAGAAATGTAAGTGGCTTTTCAGGAACCTCTCAGTGGTATGCACAAAGGGAGGAGGGAGGTAGGAAGTCAGGTGGCACGTCATGTTGAAGTCAGAGATGATGCCCTCTGAAAGGAAGCTGAGTAGCATGCAAGGCCACCTTGCCACTGTCCCCAAAGATTGATGGTAGGATGCAGAGGGAATGTGAGAGCTTGTGACATTCCATGCAGCAAGAATAGTGGGTTGTGTGAACCCATTGGGCTTCTCTGACTACTAGATACATAGCTTAAGAACTCTAGTTTTCTTATCTCTTGGCTTGAAGAGCCACTAAACCTTAGCATGACAGTTCTGAGTAAAAAATGGCTGTATCTGAATTATCTGTACCAGTTCGACCACCTTTAGCTACTATTCAGTGGCTCTGTGGGCTGAACCACAGGCAACTGCGTTTTGCTTTCTCTGGATGTTGCTCCCATGGACAGATAAAGCCACAAGGCAGTGAACTTGGTGTGCTAGTTTAGAACCACATTCCAGGCAGACTTGTTTTGTTCTCTGTCGGTCGTCTCAGTTTGAAGGTCAGCCAATTTCTGTGTGTAATAAGTCCTTCAAGTCACTATCAGAGACAATGGTGATGTTTATACATTAGGGTTTTGTTGAATCACTTACCAGTCTATTTTTTTTAAATCTCAGCTCCCCTTTGATTTTACATGGAAGATGCTAAAGGACAAATTCAACGAATGTGGTAAGTGAGAAAAGCTGTCTACGTGTTTCCATATGTTGTGGCTTCAGAAATCTTAGCCTGTTGGTGATGTGTTTGAGTCGTGCAGTGAAGCTTCCATCTTTGTCTTCACAGCCACTTTCCATGACACTAGAAGACTGATGGGACTTGCCATTTTTCTGCCTATTTAAATATTCAAGCAGGTTGTTGAGTTTCCTTTTATGTGTCAGACACTTTTCCTTTGTGTTCTAATTTCATCCTTATCTTTTTTCTCCTTTTACAGTTTTTGAAAGGAGGTAGCGTTGTCCCCATTTTAGAGATGAGTCAGGCAAAGTCAGTTCCTAGGGTCACATGGCTAAGTGAGAAACCTAAATAAAATGAATACAACTGAGACAAGGTCACTTTTCATCACAGCACCCTTGGGTCATGCCTCAAAGAGCGCTTGCCCAGCAGGTCCTGTGGGTGAGGCTTTGCAAGTTCTGGGCCTGCGGTAGCTTTTGTGTTGATGAGGCTGAGGGTGTCTGATTGTGGTTTTCTGGCACACCAGGCATCCATTCTGGAAAGCTCATTTTGTGGCTTAATGGAAGTTAAGTTGTGTGCGGGTGGACCCCCTCACCCTCACCCCCACCACTTCTGTCAAGTGGGAGGGTCTGCATGGCTTGCTGGATCATGGCTTCCTCAGAAATGTTCTCATTTCCTATTTTAGTAGTGGCTCAGATTTCACTGTGATTGCTGCTTCTCCTGATTCTGCTCTCAGTTCACCTGTTGAGCTATAGCCTGCGTTCTTGCCCTCTGTCCCCATTCCTTAGTTTCTGCATTGTAGTAGATAGTCAGAAAAGTCGGATTGGAGCATGCAGCTCTCCGTGCCTCAGATGCCTGGAGGTGCCCCTAGGCTGACAAGAGAAAGTCCAAACTCATAAGCCCCTGTAGGACTTAGTCCCTCCTGTTTCGTCTCCCTCCTGTCTCTGAACCCTGAGTTGCTAGTGTTGTTCTCCAGAAGCCCCAGAAGTGCTCTTTTGAGAGCTGTTGTCAGCAAGTCTTGATCTGGTGAACTTAAGCTATTTCAGAACTTCCCCATGAGAAGCCCTCCGGGATGTTGACCCTCCCTCAGAGTTAATGACTAGACTCGTGGGCTGCTAGCATTGGCTGCATTGTCCGGTCCTTGGCAGTCAGTGAAGTGGAGCCCTGTGTTTCTAGGACTCTTCTCCTGTGCACTTGTTTCCATGGCACTTGACACATACATGGATGCTTAATTGGTGCTTGAATGAATATGTGAAACCCACTTGCTAATTATTACATAGCTTATATTGGACAGTGCAGAAGTGCCCATTGTACTGGTCGTGACCTTGTAAAAGCGGCAGTGTGGTGTATTGAAAATGAAGCCTCTAAAATCTGAATATAAAGTTGGCTTCATGTGTGCCCCCCACTTTTGAAAAAAAACTCTTGACTATAAAGGCATACATTTGAAGCTGCCAGGAAGGCTTATCATGGGGCCTGTCAGATTGTTGTCCCAATGGCAGAAGAATGGCAATGGGGCTGAGGGCTGTCGTAGCTGGGTCCCGGCCGCTGTGTTCTGAGCGTTCATGTGCCAGGCCCAGGGGCCACTCTCCCTTTTGACTCTCCAACCGAAATTCAACAGGTGATCTGGACTGAGTGGAGCCCAGACTGAGGCTAAGCTCTGGTTTGCCTGATGAGTTGTGGTCTCTTCTTCCCTCCCTGTGCCCAGGCCACGTGCTGTATGCCGACATCAAGATGGAGAATGGGAAGTCCAAGGGGTGCGGTGTGGTTAAGTTTGAGTCTCCAGAGGTGGCTGAGAGAGCCTGCCGGATGATGAATGGGATGAAGCTGAGTGGCCGAGAGATTGATGTTCGAATCGATAGAAATGCTTAAGCAGTTGCCTTTTTTAAACATCGATACCAGACCTCTGAATTTGTATTTTTTCTTGTTAACCATTTTAATTTGTTGGCTGGATGTATAAAGATGTTTAAAAAATTCGGTTGCTTTTTGGGGTAATTTGAATTACTTTTTTAATGACTGGGGTTCCATTTGACTGTTTGCATTGAGATTGCAATGTGCGCAATTTTTTTTGTAGTTGTGGCATCTTGTTGACATCGAATATGACTTTGATAATAAATACCAGTTCCTGAAAGCTGCCTGCTTTTGTGTGTGTGTGTGTGTGCGTGCACGCGCTCATTGTTGGGCCATTACTCGAGGTTTGGATTTACTCAATCTTTTCTCTACCTTTGGAGCTGTGACCACCAGGGATCTCATCTCCTTTCTTGCTGGTTGGTCAACCCTGCCATGTTAGGAAAACTCATTATGAAAACTGAATCTTGAGTGGATTTTAATGCTCTTTTGCTGGTAATGGAGTACTGGGCTGTCAGCTGTCACAAAAGCTGTCCTGTCTCCCTCCTGTGTAATTTCTGTGAGAGGTGCAGACACTGCATCAGGCTCATTTGCAGTTCAGCTTTTGTTTTGGTCCGCTCCAAGTGCTATAACAATAATACCATTAAGCCGGGTGGTTTATAAACAACAGAAATTGATTTCTCACAGTTCTGGAGCCTAGAAAGTCCAAGATCAAGATGCAGATTCAGTGCCCTGGGTCGTAGACAGTGCTGTCTGGCTGTAAGCTCACTTGGTGGGAATGACCCTAATTCCATTCTCAGGGCTCTGCCCTTATGACCTAATCACCTCTCAAATTGAGCATTAGGTTTTCAATATAGGAATTTTGGCAGGGGGATACAAATATTCAGTCCATAGCAGCATTGCTTTGCTAAAACAGACCCAGCAAGATGTGGGTTTCTAACCGTATTTAGTCCTTTAAAGGTTCAGGCTGAACTGGTTCCCTGGGCTCTATGAAAACTGGGTCACTCCCCCACCACCACCACCAATATGTGACCTCATACATAGGTCCACTTAAGCTAGACAGCTGTTTGCAGCCTGTAGGGAGCAACAGCTGCTGCTTTGTTCTGTCTGCATGTGGAAGGTTGCAGAATGGGACGTGTCTTGCCCATCTCCCTCTCCACTGTGGCCAACAGCTGACGGGGGTCCAATCAAGGGACTCCCACTTTGAAGTCTAGCAAGGTATCAGTTCCCTTGCTACCTTCTCCTTGCCACACTTCTCTTTCCTGGCCTTTATCCTTCAGGAGTGAGTCCATGAAGGAGGGGGTTGACCCCATAGGTCCCTGAGTGTTTGATCATGGCTCCACTGTGTGTGCCAGTCA